ATAAAAGTAGATAAACGGGAATTAATTCCAATTCCCACATGATGAAAAAAAGTAAAATGTCTCGAGAAGAAAATGGTCCGATTTGACCGCTATACATTGCTAACATCAGGAAATAGAATAATTGGTATTCTCGAGTAACCGGCTGAGCCGCTAAAGTGGCTAAAGTAGTTATAAATCCCGTCAGTAAAATAGGTCCTATAGAGAGTCCATCTATTCCTAATCTCCAGTAAAAATCAAAAAAATTGATCCATTTAGAATTCTCCGTCAGTTGAATTAGTGGATCATCCAATTGGAAATGATAACAAAATGCATAGGTTGTTAGAAGGAGATCGATTAAGCATATACAAATGCTATACCACCTAATTACCTTATTTCCCCTATGAGGAAATAAGAAAATGAAGGAACCTGCGGCTATTGGGAAAACAACAACTATTGTTAACCAAGGAAAATCATTCGTGATAAAAATAAGATACACTTGGGCCAGAAAAGCCCGTGCTCAAAATCAAATAGAAAATTTTTTTCTATTTGATTTTGAGCACGAGTTTTTGCCAGTAAAAAACGTATTCGTGTGGTGTTTTTTGAAACGTATCAATAAGCTAGACCCATACTTCGAGTTGTTTCATGCCATAAATAAACTCGAATACTTAAGAAATCTGTCGGACAAGCGGACTCACACCTCTTACAACCAACACAGTCCTCTGTTCTTGGGGCAGAAGCTATTTGCTTAGCTTTACATCCATCCCAAGGTATCATTTCTAATACATCTGTGGGACAGGCTCGGACACATTGAGTACATCCTATACATGTATCATAAATCTTTACTGAATGTGACATTATATCTATAGTAATTTTTGATGTTCAAAAATGAAAATTATCGATCTAGTAAACTCGTAAATGAATCGTATATTTATATACCAGATGAATCAATGATTTGTGATAATATTGTTAACTGTTAATAAAAAAGGCGTCTAGATAAATTTAGAAGAGGAAATAGAAGAGGACCAGGATACTTTGATTTCTTATGATTTAGGGAATGCAAACATGATATGATCATAAGTTGTGTCGAATAAATACTAAAATGAATTGATTAATATTACACTATTTGAAATTCTACTTTGTTTCTTTTTTATTAATTATGATATGATTCATGCTATTTATTCAACAAATTCGATTGATTGATACGGGTTGATTTTCTGTTACGAGCAATTGAGGAAACAATAGCCAGTCCGATAGCCGCTTCAGCGGCTGCAATAGCTATAACAAAAATTGAAAAAATATTTCCTTTTAATTGGCGATTATCAAAAAAATCAGAAAAAGTGACTAGATTTATATTCACTGCATTCAATATAAGTTCAAGACACATAAGGGCTCTAACCATATTTCGGCTCGTGATCAATCCATAGATACCAATAGAAAATAAATAGGCACTCAAAACAAGTACATGTTCGAGCATCATTGACCAACTCCTTATCAATTTTGATTCATTTCAATATGAACAACAATTCAACAGATTCAATTGACTAAAGAATATAACAAGTCTGCAACAAAAGAATATATTGGCAATAAAAAAAAAGAATTTCTACCTAAAAACTCTTTCACTTCACATTGAAAAAAAAAAAATACATATATATATATAGTCTTGATTTATATTAGTAGTTCTCTAAAGATTTCTTACTGGCGAGCTACGACAATTGCACCTATCAAAGAAACTAAAAGAATTATTGAAATTAGTTCAAATGGAAGAAAAAAATCTGTTGATAAATGAATTCCAATTTGTTGACTAGTACTTATCAAATCTTGTTCAATAATCTGATTTGGTCTTGTAGTCCAAATAATTCCGTACCATGATGTATCTGAAATAATAGTTATTAGTGAAACAAAAATACTTGTACAAACTATCAAAGTAATTCCATCCCCTATGGTCCAAAGATGAAAATCTTGGTAATATTCGGAACTATTCATGAACATCACAGCAAATATGATTAAAATGTTAATAGCTCCCACGTAAATAAGTAGCTGTGATGCAGCTACAAAATGCGAGTTTGCTAAAATATATAAGAAAGAGATACAAACAAGAACCAGTCCCAACGAAAAAGCAGAAAAAATGGGGTTGGTAAGTAATACTACTCCTAAACTTCCTAATATAAGACCCGATCCCAGAAAGACTAAAAGAAAATCGTGCAGCGTTTCAGGCAAATCCATTATATGTAAAAAAAAAAAAGACAAAGAAATCGAAATTTCATGACCTTATTGATATGACCAGGAAAAAATTGTTATATACTTAAATTTTTCTTTGCATTGAAAAAACCTAAGTAGTTTAAATTGATATAGTTACGGTTATATAATCAATGTCATTCCACTTAAACTACTCTTTATACGAAAGAGTAGTTTGAAACGATATTAAAACTAAAGTATAAAGGTAGATAGAACATATATAACCATTTGAACTAGTCTTTAAATTAAAGAATATTTCAAATTTCGATAATATATTTCTCTATTCTATTTAAGAATATATTTCTCTAATAATTAGAGAATATTTCTAATCCAATATCGATTATATGATTCATTTTTTATACAATTTTTGAAAATATTTTATTTCGATTATTCTATATATTCTATATATATTCTATATATATATAGAAATCTATATATATATAGAATATTCTTTTTTTTTTTAGAATTGTATTTTATTAAATTATAAAAAATTGTCTTTTTTTATTTGATTTGAATTGTTCGAATTGTATAATCATCAATTATTGACATTGGTAAACGGCCCAAAGCAATTTGATTATAATTCAATTCATGACGATCATAAGTTGAAAGTTCATATTCTTCAGTCATTGATAAACAATTTGTTGGACAATACTCAATACAGTTACCACAAAAAATACAGATTCCGAAATCAATACTGTAATTTAGCAATCGTTTCTTTCTAATATCCGTTTCCATTTTCCAATCAACAACGGGTAAATCTATAGGACATACACGAACACATACTTCACAAGCAATGCATTTATCAAATTCAAAATGGATTCGACCGCGGAAACGTTCTGATGTGATTAATTTTTCATAAGGATATTGAATAGTTACAGGTAAACGATTTGCGTGAGATAAGATAATCATGAAACTTTGACCAATGTACCTTGCAGCTCGGACTGTTTGTTGACCATAATTCATGAACCCAGTTACCATAAGGAACATATCGTAAATATCTATGAATAGTTTTGTTTTATTTCTTTCTCTTATTTGAGACAAGTAATGAATATAGAAGATCCATCTTTTACAGCGAAAACAATTGAGACGAAGTTGTTAATAATAGATTACCGAGAGAAATAGGTAAAAGAAATTTCCATCCAAGATTTAATAATTGATCCATTCTTAGCCTAGGCAAAGACCATCTTGTTATGATAGAAACAAATAAGAAAAAATAGCTTTTAGCTAATGTAATAAAGAGATCAATTGTAGTTCCAAAAACTCCGTATGTTTTATTTATTTCAAAAAATTCAGAAACAAATATGTACGGAATAGAGATATTTGAACCGCCCAAGTAAAGAACTGTTACAAATAATGAAGAAATTAAAAGGTTTAAATAGGAAGCAACGTAAAATAAACCAAATCTAATACCTGAGTATTCTGTTTGATAACCAGCTACTAATTCTTCTTCTGCTTCTGGTAAATCAAAAGGTAATCTTTCACATTCTGCTAGCGAAGAAATTAGAAAAACGATGAAACCCATAGGTTGACGCCACAAATTCCAACCCCAAAAACCATATTTTGCTTGCGCATCAACTATATCAACTGTACTTAAACTGTTAGATAATCCTAGTCGGTGATAACATTACTGTTCCCATCTCTATTACAGAACCGTACATGAAATTTTCACCTCATACGGCTCCTGGAAAGCCTTAAGTAAATCTAAGGACCGGGTCAATTATTTCTCTCTTGCTATATCCCTAAGATATAGAAGATGAAAATAGATCGAACGGTTCTGAATTAGACCAATTCAATTCTGTCTGTTCTAGAAATAACGAAATAAGAAAGAGAAATATAGTTTAATAAAAGATCCAATGTAAGGCACTTCTGAATTGATCTCATCCCTCAAAAATAAAAATTTGTTGAGTAATAACTGAATTCTTCAATAAAATACTCTTTTATAATTCTCAATAGCCCTCATGATTTTGAATTACGAAAAAGAATTAAACATTCGTTTCTTAATTATGATTTGATCTCCATGAATATGGATATGGATATAAGAAATCAAAAACGAAAAATAGATTTCTCTTTCGTTTTTGATTTCTTATGTTTTTTTTTTCGTTCCTATTCTTCTTTTTTGTGCTATGAAAAAGGGACTTAAAAAATTTTAAAGGATTTTTTCGTTCCTGATAGTCATTTATTTAATGAGTGGATGGAAGCATACTCTGGATCGGAGTTGTGGGGAGTACTGCTTTATTTTTTCTACCAACTTAAAGCCCCAATTAGTATTCTTTTTATATTCTGCGTAAATTGTCTTTTGGATAATTTACAAAATCTGTGTTACTAATCCTTTGTGTATCTTGGTGTTTCTAACCATCCACTCTTTTTTATTAATCCCCCTTATTTATTTTAATATATCTATGAGAATTCATAAAAATGGTAACTAAAACTCAATAAGGTTGGTCTTTAGAGCCCGCTTCAAAACAGGATGACAAATTATCCAATCTTGGGTTAAATGGCCTCTTCTGTTTATAATTTTATTTCATTCTTATACATAGAAAATGAGACTCAATATTTTTACTGCCATTAAAAATCATCATACTATCTATTAACTAGAAGTAAGAAAGTATTCTGAAATTCTATTCAATATAAGCTGTTTTATTTCACTCATATAACTATCTAATTTAGTTCTTCAATCGGAGAAAAATAAAGATAATGAAGGTTTCTATTCAATTGATTCGCCTCCTTTCCTATATAGTACTATAAAGAGAGGAGCATAGCAATAGCATCGAATAACTTTTTTGGTTTCAACGAATCGCACGTAGAGATATTGATAAGACACATAGAGTTAATGGTATTTCATAACTAATCGATTGAGCAGCAGCTCGTAGACCACCCAAAAAGGAATATTTATTATTTGAGCCATATCCTGACATAAGAAGTCCAATGGGAGCAATACTCGAAATAGCAATCCATAAAAAAACACCTATCTTGAAATCAGATAAAACAAAGTTATAGCCAAAGGGAATTACTGAATAACTTATTAGAATTGATATTATTGATATGGATGGTCCAATACTGAATAAACGAATATCTCCCCTAGATGGAATAAGATTCTCTTTGAATAGTAGTTTTGTTCCGTCTGCTAGAGCTTGAAGAATTCCAAAAGGACCAGCGTATTCAGGTCCAATACGCTGTTGTACCCCTGCTGATATTTCTCTTTCTAACCATACAATTGCTAGTACACTTATTGTGATTCCCAAGATAAGAATCAAAATTGGTACAAGTATCCATAGAATTCCATAGACCTCTTTGAAAGATTCCAATCCGGAAAAGGAGTTTATATCTTGGACTTCCGTTGTATCAATTCTCATTTCAACGATCAACTTCTCCCATAATGATATCTATGCTACCTAGTATTGTCATAATATCAGCCAATTTCATTCTTTTAACTAATTGAGGAAGAATTTGCAAATTGATAAAACCAGGTGGACGAATTTTCCATCTCCAAGGAAAACCATTCTGATCTCCTATTAGAAAAATTCCTAATTCTCCCTTGGGGGCCTCAACTCTCACATAAAGTTCTTGTTTCGGCAATTCAAAAGTAGGAGACGATTTTTTACCAATGAATCGATATTCAAAATCATTCCATTCTGGCTCCTTTTCTCTATCAAAGCAGCGGATTTCAAAATTTTCATAAGGCCCCCCTGGAATTCCTTCCAAAGCCTGTTGAATTATTTTTATGGATTCCACCATTTCACCAATTCGAACTAAATAACGAGCTAATGAATCTCCTTCTTTTTGCCATTGAACTTCCCAATCCAATTCCTCGTAACACTCATAATTATCAACTTCACGTAGATCCCATTGTATTCCGGAAGCCCGAAGCATCGGTCCTGATAACCCCCAATTTATAACTTCCTCTCTACCAACAAAACCTACTCCTTCAACCCGTTCTAAAAAAATTGGATTTCGCGTAATAAGTTTTTGATATTCAATAACCCTTGTTAAAAAATAATTGCAGAAATCAAAACATTTATCTATCCAACCATAAGGTAGATCAGCGGCTACCCCCCCAATACGAAAAAAATTATGCATCATTCTCATACCTGTCGCAGCTTCGAATAGATCATATATTAATTCTCTTTCTCTAAAAATATAGAAAAAAGGGGTTTGTGCACCAATATCTGCCATAAAAGGTCCCAACCATAGTAGATGAGAAGCTATACGACTTAACTCCAACATAATTACTCGTATATAGCTGGCTCTTTTAGGTACTTGAATATTTCCCAATTGTTCCGGCCCGTTTACAGTTATTGCTTCTGTGAACATAGTCGCTAAATAATCCCAACGTGTTACATAAGGCAGATATTGTATAATTGTTCGGTTTTCCGCTATTTTTTCCATACCTCTGTTAAATAACCCAATATTGGTTCACAATCAATAACATCTTCACCATCCAGAGTAACAATAAGTCGAAGAACACCATGCATCGATGGGTGTTGAGGCCCCATATTTACTATCATGAGGTCTTTTCTTGTAGCTGGGATATTCATAGGTTTTTCCTCGATTCATTCTTCCATGAATCGTTCAAAAAAAAAAGTTCATCAAAATTCAGTATCTAATAAATCGAATAATTGAAAATGATTCTTTAAATTACCTAATTTGTGAATCCCGAATACCCAACCGATTTATTAAATTTTGATAACGTATTTTGTTTTTCTTTGACAAATACGACAATAGTCGTTTCCGTTTTCCCAGAATTATACGTAAACCTCCTTGAGATAAATCGTCTTTTGGGTGTAATTTAAAATGTGAAGTAAGTCTTTGTATTTTATTAGTGAAGTTGAATACTTGAAATTCAACCGATCCCGGGTTTTCTTCTTCTTTTTTTTTTTGTGAAATAACAGGTATAAATGAATTTTTTATCATAAAATGAAAGCTTTTCTTTCCCCCTCCTTTTTGGTAGATATTTTTATTGATCAGTAATAGTAATGACACTCATTTTGAATTTTTTATATCAAATTTTACCTTAATTTATTTAACAATTTTCACAATTCTGAATTTTTTTTTTTCAAATTCCTTATTAAGGAATGTAATTCAAATAGAGAATAAATACTATATTTATGTATTCAAAAAATAAAAAATTCTATTGTCTTGTATTTAAAAAATAAAAAAAAAAAAGACAATTTTGATTTATTCATTTTTCTATTGATTTATTTCTATCTAATGGAGACATCATTGAAGTCGTATCAATCCCACAATGCGTGTGCGCGTTTATTTTATTTATTGCAATTATCAATTATATGTGAACATATATATATATATATAAATAAATATTTATTTATATATATATATATATGTTCACATATCAGATATCAGATAGATATCTGAAATATTATGATAATGATAAATAGAACAAAAATCTAGATTTTCAATCGAGGATACATATGTATTCTTAATATACTGAAACGGCTTCCATTATGTGTATCAAACCAATAGCGGTTCATACAAGCTAAATCTTCGAATCGATAATTTGGCCAAAGAAAGAATTTTAAAGTCATTAGTTTTTTTGTATCGCTATCAATATCTTCATTTTGAGTCAAAACTTCAGAAGAATTATTTCGTTTTTTCTCAGTGTCATTTATTGTGTTTCTATGCACAGTATTTCTATTCTGTGGGTTCAAACAAATTAGAATTCTCAATTCTCTACGGCGTCTAGTGGACAAAAGATTTTCAGGAACAAGTAAATCATAGTTTCTTTTCAAAATTTTACGTTTGTGCCTCAATGATATGCTTATGGTTTGATATATAAAAAATTGTTCATAGTTTTTTCTAGAAATACGAATAGGTTCAATAAAAAACATTAGGTTGTCCCTCAATTCCTCTGTGTCCCTACATTCTGTATAACAAGTGTCCTTCATCTGCAGACGCGCCGTAATTTCAAAATCGAGGTCTGCCTTTTTTATAGACATTATGAAAAATTGTTTTAGATTTTTCAATCTAACCAGGAGACAATATAAGTTGATATTATCCATTAGTGTTTCTTGGACGGGAGTCTTACAGTGCAAATAAAAACCAAAATATTTATCTAGTAAGAAATTTTGTTCGCCATTTAGATCCTTCCTGTATCTAGTTATACTATACCGAGTGTCCCTATAATAGTTTGAGAGATATGATTTGAGATCTGCTTGCTTCCCGTATTCTTTCTTTTCTAACTTTAACTTGGCTACATCAGTAATGTTTTTGTTTCCATAAAACTGCACAAAAAAGAAATTCATTGGTAAGATCCAAGGATTCTTCTTATATGCACTTAATTTTGAAAAGAACCCAAATCTCGGAGTCAATAATTTCTGATTCGTTTTGGAATTCTTTTTTCTTTTTCCCATCCAATTTAGATACTTTCTATTCAGATTTTTTTCCATTGTTTCCATATCCATATCTATAATACCATCTTCTGCTATATAATTTTGGATAAAGCTATCGCCCATTATATCAAATAATTCTTTTTTATTTTTAGGTATGTTGTAATTAATCGTTTGGTTTTTGTTTGCTTGCAATGGTGATTTATATCCATAAATATAGGATTTTTTGTTATCTGCATAATTTATATATTGATAGGAGAAAAGATCATATCCATATTGTTTTTTTATTTTTTTTTTTTTTTCTAATAAATCTACTTGTTGTTTTTTTTGTTTTTTGTAAAAAATGAATTGGTTTTTTTCAGATGAATCATATTCAACTAAATTTTTCTTTTGAGCCACGCGATGTTCATGGATTCTCTTCCTCCACTTTTGTGGTACTAATTTTGACCATCCGCTCTGAGGTAAAGCATATTGATAATGAACCTTTAACCAATTTATCCATTGATTCATTATAGAATCGGGACGGTTCTTATGTCTTAATTTGGAATTTAATCTTCCTCCTTGTATTCTAAAAAAATAATCTTTTATTTCATTCTTAAGAAACAAAGATCTTCCATGAGATTCAAAAATAGATCTTAACTTATATTTATATCCATTACTAACTTGTGATAATTTAAAAAATACATAGGCTTGTGACAAAGAAGATACATCACAAGAATTCTGTGAATTCATATCTGTAATATTCCAAGATTTGTCTATAATCGACATAAATGGAATTATACTTTCATTTGTTTTATGAACTCTTTGTTCATTTTTTTTTTTAGTGTAAATGGAAATAAATACATTTACAATTTTGTCTGTTAATTCAATAATATTAAGAAAACGTTGTCCAGACATCATAATAATACGAGTGATAGAGAAAACGATCTCTATGTATATCCTTCCCATTAAAATTTGAAAAAAAAAATAGGATTTACGGATTAATCGAACGGTTCTTCTTTTTAATATTTTCAAACTATTTTTTAGTAATTCTAATCTTTTAGCATCATAAGTAGTTTTGGTAGAATTCAAATTAATCTCTAAAGTTATAACCCCCTCTTTTTTTTCTTCTGTCATTTTTTCTAGTTGTTTTAAGATTGTCTTTGTTTTAACATTAAGATCTTTTATCCTTTTTTCTGTGAAATTTGTCCAATTCATAGATTGAATTAGAACGGGCGATTCCTCAATCATTGGATTACTCTTACTGATTGTTGAATTTTTTTTGCTTTCACTCAATTCATCTCTTTTTTTGAACCTATTTTCGATTTCTTCTAACACGATTCGAGACCCCTTTTTTCTTTCATTAAAAACTTTTAGAACTAGAAAAAAACGATTTTTCAAATCTTTTTTCAATTGTTTTTTTATTTTTTTTAAAATGGGACCCAAAAATAAAAAAGGGTTTGGGACATGATCATCAAGGTACGATTCGACTTGTGTTCCATAACCTGTTAAAAACCATAAGTTTTTTTCTTTCAGTGGATCTTTTTTTTTTTCAGTAGATTTTTTTTTTTTTTCAGTAGATCGTACCTTATTGTGCCACGGTTTCAGAACAAAAGGGAATAAGATCCTTATCTGAATACCCTCCCAGAACCAGTTTGTTGGCAACGCGGTGTGAGATACTGGAACGCCCTGATAGGTGCAGTAAATATGGACTTCTTTTCTCCAATCCCTCAAATCTTCTGACCATTCAGGATTTTGAAATAATAGTATACGAATGATATTTTTTGTGATTATCAATGAAGGTAATAGAATATATTTTCTAAATATTGATTGGAATAGTAATACAAAACTTCTGATTATTAGACCATAGAGAATGCTCTCCCAGGCTTCTTCGATTTGTCTAAGTCTTATTTCAGACTCGTCTTTGTTTTCCTCTATCTCTTTCTGTTCTATCGTTTTCTCAAACGCCAAAAATTCCGAATTATCAGTACCCGGTTTCCTGAAATATTCTTTCAAATATTGGGAGATATCATAGACAAGATCACCAAACAAGAACGCGTAGTCGCCCATTATCTCCAAAAAAAGAGGGGAGTGTGCAGTTCCTTGAAAGAGTTTATAAGTTACTGTTTTACGCCTTTGAGGGCGCATAGATCCTCTGATTAGGTCTCGGCAATAATCTGGTTCGCGTGAATAATGAACTACAGCAAATTCAGTATTTCTGTCCGGTTCAGCACTATTCTGATTGTCATTAGAATCTGTTTTACTATTAAAAAGAACTATACGGTCAGCTTTTGGGGAACGAATCTGAGACTCCTTTGGACTCGCGTCCATCAATACCGCCAATTCGTCGACTAAGTCGTATGACCATCGAGGAACTTCTTTACTTATTTCGTTTATTTCACTACATAGTTTTCTATTAAAAATTGTATTATTAGTAGGATCAGTTCGAATTGCGTCCAATAATAATTTTCTTTTTGTTTTTTTTTCTTCGGAATATATTTTTACTTGTTCATGTTCTGGAAATAAATAAAGTCCGTCAAAATTCAAACTTGATACTGATTTTTCCGAAAATTTACTGATTAAGTTAAAAAAAAAACCAATTTCATTTAATAATAATTTTCTATCAAATTGATCTATTTTCTGTTCAAATTCTGGATCATTACTATTAATAGAAAGAAGGAGACCATGAATCTTATTTATCAAAATGTAGTTTGTTGTGTCAGTTTCATTTGGAATGAAGGGTGAAAAGCCTTTTTGGATTTCTCCACGAACGCGTCCATTCAAGAAAGGATCATATATTTTAGTTAAGTATTTTGTTTTCCTATTATCATCAGACAATCTAATTCGATTTTCAAATACATCCACAGGACTAAATTTAATAGATTTATTATCTATCATTTTTGCCCTTTGAAAAAATTCATTGATTAGTTTATTTCCTTTTTCTTTATTAACAGAGCTCCAATAATTAGACAATTCATTATCATTATAGGAGGTTTTATCTCTTCTGAAGAGATCCATTTTTTTTTCCATGATTTTCAGAAAAGTAGATAAATGAGGTGGATACGTGAAAGATATTCGTTTTTTTCCATCACTTTGACATACCTGAAAAAAAAATTGTGAATTTTCATCTCTTACAACCCTTTCAAAGTGATCATTTTTTATATATCGCAAAGGCCTATTCCATTTTCGATAATCGAAAAGAGTAGTTACAAGAGATTTTTCCAACGGGGCGAGTTTTTTGTTGAAAGTATTCTCTTTTTTATCAGAAAGATAAACAGTAATATCTTCTTCTTCTTCGTTAGTTTCTTCCTTTTCCCAATCTATTGCAGCTTTGACTTCCTCCAGGTCCCTGTCATCGTATCGCATCATTTCCTCAATATAATAATATGGGAGCGGTGTTCTGCCTAAATAGTGTGCAAAGCTAACAAATGAAAAAACAACAAATATTTGCCCCACATAATTTCGCAATTGTAGGAGAATGTATTTATCAAATTTCATAGTTATCTTATATTTGATCGACTTTTTGTGCTGTAACCAGACTAATACCAATCCAATACATTTCATTAAAAAGATGTGACCTATTAACCACCCAACAAAACTACTTGTTAAGAATAACAATTTATTGTTGGATCGAAACAGATAAATGTTCATTAATCTTATTAAGATTGAACTTGGCAAAAGAAAGGGGTTTAATAACTGAAAAAAAAGATTGTTAAAGAATACTTTAACAATCCTAAAATGACGTATTGAATTTGGATTCTTGTATTCAGAATCCAGTTTGGATCCCGAACCCAAATAGTAGTGTTTGTCATTTTTGTGGACAAAATTAAAGAAAAGATACGGTAGAGTTAAGACTGTTATTGTATGAGGTCTACTCAATGCCAAATGCAAAGGCGCATAATAGATCGATATAAACATCATGAGCTGTCCCGTAATAAACCCGGTTGTTGCTGATATTTTCGT